ACTGAGCGGTCACAAAGGTGGTGGGGTCGGCCTGCTCCTATCACCGCTGAGCACCTTCCAGGTCCTCCCTAATCCTCCCTCCCTAACCTTCTCCTCCTTCGAGGCTCACTGCATCCGGCTCTTCACCCCCACCCCCCTAAGGATCGCAGTGATCTACAGGCCGCCCGGATCCATACCCCGCTTCCTGGATGACTTCGCTGCCTGGCTTCCCTTCTTCCTCTCCTCTGAGCTACCAACCATCATCCTCGGGGACTTCAATATCCCCCATCCATCAACGACAACAGCCTGGCTACTTCCCAACTCCTCCACCTAACCTCCTCCTTCGCGCTCACACAGCACACTCAATCCTCCACCCACATCATTGGGAACACCCTGGACCTCGTCTTCTCCCACCTCTGTACCCTCAACCAGTTCTCTAACACCCCCTTCCCTCTCTCCGACCACCACCTCCTCACGTTCTCCATCTCCCCTTCCCCTAACTCCCCCCCCCCCAGAGCGCCAAACCATCACCAGCCGTAACCTCCGCAACCTGAACCCGGCCCCCCTCCACTCAGCTGCCGACCGCTTACACGACAGCATCCTTCCACTGTCATGTCCTGACCTAGCCACTAACACGTACAACGACTCACTATCAGCTACCCTAGACTCTCTGGCACCCCTAACCACACGCTACATCAAACCCAGACCGCTCCAACCATGGCAGAACGACCACACTAAATGCCTCAAAACGTCGCAGTCGCGCGCTAGAGAGACTATGGCGCAAAACCAGGTCCCCCCCGTTCATTCTCCCTCTACAAATCTGCCTTCCTCACTTACACCTCCTCCCTCCACGCCGCCAAGCAGGCTTACTTCGTAAACCTGAATTAACACCCTCCCTCCTGCCCTCGCCGACTCATCTTCTCCCACCGCAACTCCCTCTCTCACCCCCCTTCACCCCCTGCTCACCCCCCCCCCCTCCTCCACTCAGTACCTCACTCACCGCCCACGAAATTGCCACTCATTTCCATAACAAAATTGATGCAATCCGTCAGGACATAGTCAACTCGCAATCTACCTCCCCACCTAGCCTCCCCCCCCCCTATCTCCCCCTCATCTCTTCCACTCCTCTGACCTCGCAACCGCACTGCCCCTCTCCACACCCAAGACCCCCCTTACCGTAACCCCACCAGTCTGCCCCGCTTACCGTCTAACCTTCACCGTCAGACGCACTCTGCACTCCTTCAGCCCTACTACCACTGAGGAAGTCACCAGGGTCTTCTCAGAAGCCCGCCTCACTACCTGCCCCCCGCTGGACCCTATCCGATCCCCTCTCGACTCCTCCAGTCACCCCCCCTTCTTCCTCATCTGCTCCCTCACCCACATCTTCAATCTCTCCCTCTCTACCGGCGTATTCCCCTCCCCCCTAAAGCATGCGCACATCACCCCCATACTCAAAAAGCCCTCCCTGGACCCCTCATGACCCACTAAACAACCTCAGACCCATCTCCCCTGCTGCCACTCACTTCAAACTCCTGGAGCGCTTAGTCTACAACCGCCTAAGCGCCCACCTAACTGACAACAACCTCCTTGATCCACTACAGTCCGGCTTCCGTCCCCTACACTCCACTGAAACCGCCCTCCTCAAAATCACCAACGACCTACTAACCGCCAAAGCCAAAGGTGACTACTCTGTCCTCCTCCTCCTGACCTCTCTCGCGCGCCTTCGACACAGTTGACCACCCCCTCCTCCTTAATAAACTACTCTCCCTTGGCATCATCAGAGACACCGCTCTCAAATCCTGGTTTCTCCTCGTACCTATCCCGACGCTCCTTCAGTGTTCACCTACAAAGGTGCCACCTCCCCCTCACTCCCCTCTCTGTTGGGGTCCCCCAGGGCTCTGTCCTTGGACCCCTTCTCTTCTCCATCTACACCTCCTCCTTGGCAAACTCATACACTCCCACGGCTTCAACTACCATCTCTCTATGCTGATGACACTCAAATTTACCTCTCCACCCCTCACCTCACCTCCACTTTCTCCGCCCGCATCACTCACCTCCTAAACGACATCTCTCTGACTGGATGTCGCTCCATTTCCTCAAACTCAACCTCTCCAAAACCGAGCTTCTCGTTTTCCCCTCCTGCCCGCGCCCCCCCCCCCCCATCCTATCCATCACTACTAACATCACCACCATCAATCCCGCCCCGCAAGCCAAAGTCCTTGGAGTCATTCTGGACTCTAACCTCTCCTTCCAACCTCATGTCAAATCACTCACAAACACGTTCAGACTCCACCTCCGCAATATCGCCAAAATACGCTCCTTCCTTACCCCAGACACCACTAAACTACTTGTGCACTCCCTGATTATCTCACGCCTTGACTACTGCAACTCCCTCCTCACCGGCCTACCCCAGTGCAGGCTCTCCCCGCTTCAGACCATCCTCAACTCAGCGGCTAGACTCATCCACCTCACCACCCGCTCCACCTCTGCCACCCCCCTCTGCCTCTCCCTCCACTGGCTCCCTATCGCCCAACGCATCAAATTCAAACTACTCACTCTGACCTACAAAGCCATTCACAACACTGCCCCTAACTACCTCACCAACCTGATTCCCAAGTACCACCCTACCCGTACCCTTCGCTCTTCACAGGACCTCCTTCTATCTTGCTCCCTGGTCTCCTCCTCACACGCACGTCTGCAAGACTTCTCCAGGTCCTCCCCCATCCTCTGGAACTCACTACCCCAATCCATCAGACTGTCACCTTCCCTCCTCACCTTCAGGCGCTCCCTGAAAACCCACCTCTTCAGGGAAGCCTACCCCACCCTCACCTAACTGCTGCTCTCCTTCATTCCTCCTACCACTCCATCCCCCACAGCCACTTCCTCCTGTACCTCTACCCCCTCCCTCCTAGATTGTAAGCTCGAAAGAGTAGGGCCCTATAACCCCTCGTGTGCTGTTTGTTGTTGCTGTAATGTTTCATGTATTGTCCCCCCCCTCTATTGTACAGCGCTGAGCAAACCCTTTGGCGCTATATAAACTCAATGTAATGTAATGTAATGTAATGTAATGTAGAGATCCACAGCTCAGGTGGGAGAATCTGTCCACAAGACAACTCTTAGCCGTGCACTCCACAAACCTGGCCTATATGGAAGAGTGGCAAGAAGAAAGCCATTGTTGAAAGAAATCCATAAGAAGTCCCATTTGCAGTTTGCGAGAAGCCATGTGGGGGACACAGCAAACGTGGAAGAAGGTGCTCTGGTCAGATAAGACCAGAATTTAACTTTTTGGCCTAAAAGCAAAACATTATGTGTGGTGGAAAACGAACACTGCGCATCACCCTGAACACACCATCCCCACCGTGAAACATGGTGGTGGCAGCATCATGTTGTGGGGATCCTTTTTTTCAGCAGTAACAGTGAAGCTGGTCCAAGTTGATGGGAAGATGGATGGAGCCAAATACAGGGCAATCTTAGAAGAAAACCTGTTAGAGCCTGCAAAAGACTTTAGACTGGAGCGGAGGTTCACCTTCCAGCAGGGTAATGACTATAAACATCCAGCCAGAGCTACAATAGAATGGTTTAGAACAAAGCATATTCATGTGTTAGAATGGCCCAGTCAAAATCCAGACCTAAATCCAATTGAGAATCTGTGCCAAGACTTGAAAATTGCTGTTCACAGACACTCTCCATCCAATCTGACAGAGCTTGAGACATTTTGCAAAGAAGAATGGGAAAACATTTCACTCTCTAGATGTGTAAAGCTGGTAGAGACATACCCAAAAAGACTTGCAGCTGTAATTTCAGCGAAATGTGGTTCTACAAAATATTGACTTGGGTATCAAAGTAAAGGGGGCTGAATACAAATGCACGCCACACTTTTCAGATATATATTTGTAAACAATTTCCTTCCACTACACAATTATGTGCCACTTTGTGTTGGTCTATCATATAAAATCCCAATAAATACAATTACGCTTTTGGTTATAACATGACAACATGTGGACAATTTCAAGGGGTATGAATACTTTTTCAAGGCACTGTATTTTACATTCATTTGAATGTGCTGCCATGGCTGTGATTCCAAAAAAAAAAAAAAAAAAAAAAAAAAAAAAAAAAAAAAAGAAGAAGAGGTGCCTGCACCTTTTTAAAAATGTCGCTGCAGGGAAATTGCATGGTGTTTTTGCACCATGTGATTTCCCTGTGGTTCCCACAAACGCACTGTGGGTTGAGATGCATAGGGGTGCCATTAAGAAATTAAGAATGAATGGGCAGCTACGTTCGTCTCTATAGAGCAGCGAGATTTTGGTTGCGGATGCAGGAACAGCTGTGCTTCCACCCACAACCACCTGCTCACGTGTGGTCAAGTGTGAACCTAGCCTTATTATTGGTCCAGGGCAACATAACTGTAAACATATCTAATGTCATCTTCTAGAATGACCTGAGCTTCCTCAAAACTAAGGCTACATTTGCACAGACATTTAGCCACGCTGCAAATCCCAGCGACAAGAATCTACTGATTACTCTGTGGCTGAAATTGACACACAAACTGCATCCACCCCTGATTACTGCAGGTAATCACTGGCTGTGCAAACAGTCACAAATAAGTGGGGCTCTCAACAACCGATCATTGCTCTGTACAGGCTTGGGGGCAGCAGATATATGAACACAGCTTTCAATCCCAGCTGCAGGAATCAGTGGATTGATTCACAGTGTTGCTAAAAGCCCATGGGAATGCGGCCTAAGGCAGACAAAAAGCTAATCTGTTCCACCAATCACCATCACCATGTGAATGTTTCCATTACACAATTTAAAGCAATCCTTTTGGCATCCTAAAAGTGGCCCTTCCAGTATCTGCACACTTAATCCCACAGAGCTTTTATTATGCAGCTCAAGGTGCCCACTACATAGATCATACAGGAACACTGTACCTTTAAAGCTATGCAAGGAGACTGTGTATTGTTAGTTTGTTTCCAAGAAACAGTAAAATGTACAGTATAGACGTTTATGTTTATTTTACTCACCAGCCACATAATCGGCATGATTACAGTCCAGAAGAATGAAGGCAAGATACCATATGTAAGATTTGTCATAACAAGTCCAGGACACACCACACTAGAATAAATGCCCTGCACAAAAGAAGATTATTATGCAACACAGATGAAAGAAAAAAAAAAAAAAAAGTCAAATTAAAGTGCATGCCATAGCAGGCCCTTCAAATACAAAGAATAACCTGTTGATTTGCCAGAAATAAACAACTCACAATTCCTTTTTTTGGCAGACAACACACAGCATATTTATGGTGTCAGCCCTGCCTAGTTGGCCCCTGCTAAACTGCTTGATGCTTGCCCCTGACTTGTTCTCTAAAACACAAAATTTCTAATTGTAGTTCCAACGATACAAACTGGAAAAGCTAATTAGGCTTCTTGCGGTAACAAAGGGAATTTGCAATGGACAGCTCTGAATTTCTGACATGATCAACAGCTATTGTTTGAACTTATTGAACAAATATAACCAAACACTTTCAATGGTGTGTATAACAGAGCAAACTGGGAGCGGTAAAAGTAATTTTTGACAATTAAAATACGCTTCTACATTCCAGTTCTTAGAAAAACACAAGTCAAAATAAAAATTGCAACATGGTGGTACATCATATTAAGCCATACTATTACACAGTAACAAATACTTGTGGCAAAAGGGCAGAAGGAAGCGCCTGAGTACCATCTAAGGGCTCTTGGCAGAAGTGGCAATAAAGTGTGTGACCAGGTGAGATGTAACACCTGACCATCCACCTGAGACTAAGCTCTGAGTAGTAAAATTTTTGCATCATGTTTACATTGCAAAGTGGATACATTCATAACATAGCACAGTTTTTACAGTGTCAAAGATACAGGGAGACCCCTTCTTATGTATCCATGACAATGGACTGTATAAAAAGTCCAGGCTTCACCCTTCATGGTGGGCTTACCACCGAAGGGGTCTTCTGCGACTGGGTTACATAAAGATGAACTGGCCACAGACCTGGAAAAGTATCCTGTAGCTGACTCAAGACTTTGCACCAAGTGTCAATGCAGGATTCAGTACCTGAAGCAATATTACACGCCTTCCCCAGAGTGTGGGGTCTAGGTGCGGGTCCCAAGGTTATACCAAAGTTGCACTGATCCAGTGACACTGCTTCTATGTTGGTATTAGAAGACAAAGAGGGAATGACTGAAGAATTTGAAGATACAATAACAGAAAAATAATACACTAGTTAAGCTTAGGGCAATTTTCTCTGTGAAGGAGAAAAGGCCCATCACCTTCACAAACTAACAAAACTGAGGACTCAAGGAGTGGTGTAGGGCTGTAAGAGTTGGCACCCAGGGAGTGTGTCTTATAAAGCTATGCTAGTGTCCAATCACCTGAATGAACATGCCTATAACCTATGGTGAATGAATACTCTGACCTGTACTGAACGATTAAAACATGTGGAATTAGACTCTCTCAGGAACTAGCTCTCACCAGCTCAGTAGATTAATTTGAAAATGAGCTGGATGTGCTCCAAAATTCACAAAATCAATGGAAGTAGTTGACAAGCGCTGATGCCTCTTGAAAGCGACATGCTACTAAATGTTTAATATGACACAGCACAACACGTTTATTAATGTGTCCATTTTAAACTACTCTGTCAACAAGGTGACAAAAGCTGCTGTGTGAAGTGGAATGTACTGGCTTTACTAGCAGGATAAATGGGCAATAAAACAAGGGTACCCTGAAAAAAACACTGGGTCAATGACAGGATTGCATCATATAAGTAATTGTTTTATTTTGTGTATATTCCAACTTTAAATACTTACCTTCCCCGCTCCCCTGGCAGAAATCATCCTTATCCGAAGCAATCGAGATGTGGGCATACAATCTAGGACTGCTGGTCCTGCATTATATTTGATGAGGTTAGAGAACTTTGATGGCTGGGAAGTAAAGCATCTTCAGGGGGATCATTTGCATGTAGAGGAGGAAGTCTGCGGAATTTAAAGTGGTTAAGTAGTACTGTAAAGTGGTTAAGTGGAAAAGTACTGTATATACAGTTCCACCTTTTTACCCTGTAAAAGATGCTTGAGGAATACTGAATTCAATTTACCTACCTTTTTGTTGTAATTCTTATTTAAAGAAACACTTAATAAGTCAGTAGCATATTTTGAAGAGCTGTAGGATTCTTGCCCTTGGCTGTGTTGATAGTCACTGAGGGAGAAGGCAGATTTCCTTGCATTACTAGATGAAGTCCAGATAAGCTGGGAAGGATGGTCTGTGTGACATAGCAAAGACTCAAGTTCTTTGATCTAAAACAGACAAATAAATTACAATATAAACCTTAAAGGATAAGTTCACCTTTCATAACATGTTACACCCATATTCAGGGTGTAACATGTAACGTGTTATGAAGAGACTGGCCCTAGCTCCCCTGCTCTGACAGCTAGCAAATTTTAAAAAAGATGCGGACGTGCAGGGCTCCGCCCATGTCACTCATTCACAGTCCTTTGTGGATGAGAAACTACAAGTCCCGACATCTTTAGCGGCTGTCTACTTGTAGATCTCAATGAACTACCATGGCGTCGTACAGTGCTGTGGTAGTTCATTGATTTTTTCCTGTCAGTATAGCTGCTTGCCTGTACATCCTGCATGGCACCAGCGATCTGCTGATCACTGGTGCAATGGTTTACATGCTCCTGCAACAAAAAAAATTATGAATGCACATTTTTTTAACCTGCAAAAAAATGTGCATTTTTTTTTTATTTTATAGCAAAATGTGAACTTATTTTTTAAGGCTAGGTTAAAATCTGTGTGGGTGGTGCCACTGAAGATCCATGAAAATCCATGCACCCGCACAGAGAAATGAGGACCCGCAGGCAGATGCCATTAGTTCGAATGGCACGCTGCCCGCACTGGAAAATGCAAATGTACTGGGAATCGAGGTTCACGTGCAAGTTGCGTTTTCGGAAGAAGTGCAGGGACTTCTTGTATGCGTGTCACAGGAGTCCATTCAAATAAATGGGCTCTAATGTCCGTGCAAAACGCGGCCCGCACGGCCGCATATATGTAAACCAGGGCTTAGGGTCCATTTACACTTATTAGTTTTGGTGCACCCCAGCACACCCCTAATGGGCTTCTGATGCACATGAGTTGAAGCACACCAAAACACATCATAGATAATGCATTATTGTTCGTTGTGGTGTATTGCCTCAAAAAAAAAAAAAAAAAAAAAAAAAAAAACAAAAGCTACATATCCATTTTATATCTCTTCTGGCAAGTTAACACAAGGCACCAAAATGGAAAGTGTAAATATGACCTAAAGTATTAAAACATATTTAGATCATGATTAATCCAAATTTCTAAAGCATTTTTTCAGGTCAAGCGATTATACAACATTTAACCTTTTAATATTTGAAATATTACATTTGGATATCAAAATTACACATTAAATACTTCTCTAGGCGATATGTAAAAATAAACTAAAATTGTTTACAGTGGGGTTTATTTACTAAAGCTAGAGAGTGCAAAAATCAGGCTCACGTCTGCATAGATGTGAGCCTGATTTTGCACTCTCCAGCTTTAGTAAATAAACCCCACTGTCACAAAGCAGGGTTCAGCGAGCCCAGAAAAATAAACGTTAAGTGGCTGACTAAAGTTTTATAAAATTGCCAAAAAACAGTCTGTTACCAGTATAAAGTGCCCAAACACATTGGTCTCGAAAACTTCCTGTAAACCATCCTCTGTCACCCTGTCCTCCTGGGTTAGAAGACCTTCTCCTGTTGCAAACATACTGACAACATTCCTGCAACAAAAATATATAGTATTAAAAAGACTACAGAAAATCTCCTGATATAAACCAGTTGAAATTCTAAGCAAAAATGATAAAACAAGGCTAATATAAAATTTACTATACACTCCGGCTGAAAAAATTATTATTTTAAGCGGGGTGCACAGAGCAAAATCCACCAAATCTCAGACATACCTACTGACATGGTGGGGTGGACTAGAGGTGTAACTAGAACCTTCAGGGCCCTGGTGCAAGAAGGCACCTGGCCAGGGCCCTTCCCTGTGAGCCCAATGGCAGAATGCCAGGGACTGTTCACAAGTACAAGCTTTGCAACGCTGGTAGTTCCACCACTGGTGCCAGTAATTTTTTTTTTTTTTGGTTACACAGATACATAAAAACATTTTGTTACATTATATGTATTATTTTTAAAAATACATATTTTAGGAGCCCCATTGCAGGTCTTTGGTGAGATATCTATACAGACCTCTGATATTTCACCTCAGAGACAGAAAGGAGATTGGAGGACACAGCCCTCAATCTCCATCTCTGCAGACTCAGCTGCACAAAACGAATGGACAGGAGTAGCTCTGTACAGAGCTTCCAAATCATTCATGAACTGAAACATTGTAAACATGCTTTAATTATGAATGGGCAGAGTCATTGATCGCTACCGATTCAGACAAGGAAGGGGCCAGTAAATTACATATTTACCGGCCCCTTCCCTCGTTTTCTATTCTGAAAGATTATCGTGCAGCAGCTGGCGGTACAGGGGAGGAAGGAACCTGGCAGCAATACGGGGGAGGAGGGGGGCCTGGTGAGAGCACAGGGCGGGTCCGGGACAGAGCACAGGGGGGCCAGGAGAAAGCACAGGGGCCTGGGGGCAGCAGCTTTTCCCAAAAAGCTTGTTAAATCCTTATTTAAAAGGATAGGTTCACCTTTTATGAAAAATAAATCAATCCACATATTTTAAAATAAATAAATGAAATATGTGCATTTAATATTAATATTACACTGCAGTTTATAAGGCATTGCATCCATGATCAGCAGATTGTGGGTACAATGCCAGGATCCTGCAGACTCCCCAGTCAGTTGTCTGCACGCACCTCCCATACAGGTAGGTAGCTACTGAACTGCAGGAAGAATCAAACTACAAGATCCCTCACCAGCACCCTCGCAGTTCACTGAGAACTACAAGCTGTCTGCTGCAGTGGATGATGGTACTTGTAGTTCATTAATTCACAGAACTCTGTGAATGAATGACACAGCTATGTGGAGGATTGGGGAGTGTGGGCATGTGCTGCTTGTAATATGTAATAAGTTACTACCTAAATATGTGTGTAAAGTGTTACAAAGGTGAACTTTGAGCCTTTAATTTAAAAATTTCAGCTGTTTCTTTAGACTGCTCTCTGGCTATATAGTAAAGATTATTAGAAAAAAAGTATGGACTTTATAAAAGAATAAAAAAAACTTTTATACACACCTAGGTGGACGCAGAATCGATTAGATGCTGCATCTGCCCCTTGCCAGCTCTGCAGTGAGAAGTGAGAAATCAAACACTGCTGATCACTCGTTTCCCCCCTCTGCTCTGAGCTGTGCACATGACTGTTAGTCTCTGGCTCTCTGCTCTGCCCTCCAGCACTCATAGGTGCACTGGGCTGTGGGGCGGGCAGGAGGGGCTGGCCCAACCTCTCAGCAGTTCTCGGTCCAGGCTCCCAGGTGGATCCCGACCATATAGTTAGGATCTTTTCGGAGCTTGGACCGGCTGAGTGACATCAGCAGACTTTAGCCCGCTGTTAACTGAAACCAGGCCACGGGTGCAGAACAAACTGCACTCCTGTGATCCATAGGTGAAGTACTGCCAAAAAAACTGACTATACTTCTCCTTTACACTGGCCAGATTCAAAATGTGAAGACCAAACTTTATCTCTGAGAAATGTAGTTGCTGTCAGAGCTGCCAGTAGCTCACCTCACCCCTTGTTTTCTTGCTCTACTGTCCAGCAGCAAGAAAGCTGGGGAGCCGATGACATGTGTACAGCAGGAAGCCAAACTGCTGCTGATCTGATCATCGGGTGATGTGTTCATGGGGATGACATGCTGCAGAAGGTCCGAATAATTGAAAATGTGTATAGAGGGGTGTATACCGCAGATTTTGCATCCAGAGCAACTTTTTGGGACTGCAGGAGCTGTAAAGATGGGGCTAACACACCCCAAACAGTAACTCATGGTTTGCGAAAGGTGGATGTAGTAAAAAATATGGAGGTATAATGAAGTTTAAATCATTGTAAACTATGCCTGCTTGCTGATTCCACTGAAGGGGTTTGCATGGGCTAGTTTAGGAGGATTTATTACTCTTGAAAAGTGACTGAAGGTGGAATGTAACCTTAACCCAAATTATTTGCATAGAAAATTTGATAGAGAAGGGGACAATAAATGTATTTTTTAAATATTTTATTAACAAGAGAACGGAGTAGCTATACAAAAAAGTACAAAAGTGATCATGGAAACATTTGTGCTTCACTTACTAAAATTGTTTGATATTTATACAGGGCACACATACAAAGGTTCTTGTTAAATACAATTTTTACCTATTTTTGCAATGTTGATGAAAGTAGGATTGTGTTCATTGTGTATGTAGGGAAATAAAACTGAAAGCTGCATTAAACAGCAGGCAATGCAGCAGGGCCACAGAATAATACAGAAACACAATGGGGTAAGATTAACTAAAACTATTGCACTCAGAATCTGGTGCAGCTATGTATGATAGCCAATCAGCTTCTAACTTCAGCTTGTTCAATTAAGCTTTGACAATAAAACCTGGAAGAGGATTGGTTTCTATGCACAGCTGCACCAGATTTTGCATTCTCCAGTTTTAGTAAATAACACCCAGTTTGACTAGAGTAAAATGAAAATAACTATTTTACAATATATTTCTATATGACCTTGGATTTGGAGATAACCATACTCTTACTTTACCTAGAGAAGAGACCTGTGATGAAAGCTTTGAGACTTATCCGTGGATTAGGCATTATTCCAGCATTGAGATATAAGTAGTCTATATGTTGATATCTGCCAAAAATATAAACACAACTCTATAAACTCACAATGAAATATATAAGCACTTACATAATATGAACATTAATTTTGTAGAGATCACTCATTTGTATGTAGGAGGATATCCCTGTTTAAGAGTCCATTACTACTATGTGGTTTAGGCATGTTTTACTGCTCCTAAAGCACAAGGACAGTTCTGTACCATTTGTATCAGTGGTACAGATCTCACCTATGGGTTTTCCTGTAGTGTGCTTGCAAGTCAGCTGCTGCAAGCCAGATTTTTCTAAGGACTCCAGGAAACACACTTTTCAAAATGATGAATAGCACTATTCACAACTTATGTGCATTCTCATACATTAAAAAAATAAAGTTAGACAGACTGTATAATAATAATAAATGAACCTAAAGTGATAATAAAAGGCTCTTTTTTTTTTTTAAATTACAAACATATCATACTTACCTGCTTTGTGCAGCGGAACTCCTGGCCCCTCCCCTCTGCTAAGTGTACCCAAGTCATCTCTGTAACACACTTAACCAAACAGTCAGTCAATCATAATGAGAGTATATAAAAAAAAAATGTAAATAAAAATGAGAACATTCGTGCTGAACAAAAACAAGAATATGGGTGCTGGAAAAAAAAAAAAAGCAGTTTCTCCTCTTTTAAATTGACCGAATGGCACGTTTTTGAGCCATGGTTTTTCAGTGACAAATTCTAAAGTTGAGATAGCTGTTGCTATCGACCTTTTTAAATTAATCTCTAGTGACCACCCTACCGTCTATACTACCCTCTAGCGTTGCATCTAAATACAGGTGTACCTCGGTTTACAAACGCCTCGGTTAATGTAATTTTCGGTTTACGAATGAAAATCCATGGAAAATAATGCCCCAGTTTACGAATTTGTTTACTATTTTTTTTTTAGCAATACGAAGTGTATGTCGGTGCCAATTTTTAAATGCAATTGCCGGCTTTTTTTTTCCTTCACTATAGCTCACAGAATTAGCTGTTACTTTCCCCGGAGCTAAAGGATACATTGTTTGTTTTAACTCGGGGAAATAAACTAAAAGGAAACTCTCTTTCTTTTAGCTGGGGGGAAAGTGACAGCTGATTCTCTAAGCTATAGTGAAGAAAAAAAAAAAAAAAAAGCCAGTAATTACATTTAAAAACTGGCACTGACCTATAGTGACAGCAACTTTTTTTTGTTACTTTCTTATGACCTCTGGAACGGATTAATTGGTTTTCAATGCATTCCTATGGGAAACCGCGTTTCGGTTTAGGAATTTTTTGCAATATGAAACGTCCCGGAGAACGCATTAAATTCGTAAACCGAAGTACACCTGTACTCAATGGTGTTAGGGTGGGCATTGCTTGTGAAAGTTAGACCCCATGGATTCTCATTTATATAGTGAAAAATTTGCGGGATCGCCTTCCCAAACTAGAATCAGGTCATCTATATAATGTTTGTAGAACCTAATATTCTTGAAAAATGTTTTTTTCAGAGTGAGGATATTCTCGTGTTCAAAGGCCCCCCATGTTCATATTTGCAAACCTAGAAGGCTGCCAACAAGCTGCCAATAAGGCCTATAAATTCACTTTGCTTTCAATTCACACTGGAACAAATAGCATTGTAGGTCCAGTTCACTTCTGGTCTGTTTACTTAATTGCCAGTCAAGCCCTGATTAAGGGGGCACTTAGACCCCCAAAACGTGTTGGATACGTCTCAAATTATACTCCTGACTTTTAATGGTTTTTAGTGGTGTAGCACCTAAATTCCAACTCTTCTTACAATACAGCTAAGAAGACTGTGAAGATCCTCAGGGTGTAGAAGCCACCTGCCCAGGAACCAGATAATTTACACCAACATTAAAACTTAAAGATAACAAACAATACCAGTGGAGTGTACCTGCGGGCCCAGCACTGTGTTTCAACTTTCCCCAACTGAATGAGGAGAGAGAGCCCATGGAGAGCGGAGTAAGTATTGGGGGGGGGGGGGGGGGCTTTGGGGAAAGCAGCACACTGAAGGTTTTTTACTTCATGTATAGAATGCATGAAGGTAAAACAAACTTTAGCGACACTTTAACAATTATGGACATAAAACAAAATCACAATTTAGTTACTTGCCTTTCTCTCAGTGTTTTTGCTCCTTGTACCACAGACTTAAGTTTGCCCACATCAACTTGCAGGATCCTTACATCAGCTGATGGATGGGATGACAGCAGTGCAGAACGTGCAGCCTCAGCCCTCTGCGTATTTCTGCAGGCCAAGCATAAGCGAATCTGATCATCTTGAGAGAGGAGCCTCTCACAAAGAGCCAAACCAATACCACTGCAAAAGAACAACGGAGCAGTTAAAGCGTATCTAAAAACAAGAACAAAAACTGATAATACTGCAACTTACTGGTCCTTAGATGTGGTGGCTGCATTAGTTTTCCTATTTTACACCTTTTCCCTTCATTTTAACCTGGTAACCCTGCCATTAACATCCTTCTTGTTCTGAGGTGACAACCGTACTAAGCAGCGTTGTCACTCTAAGAATGGAAGTGTGCTAGGAATACATAATAACTCTCTCTTCTCCATAACAGAGGGAGGAATTTTGTAGTCCACAGAAGTAGGAGGAAACAATGCCAACAGATAACTTTCCATGCTCTCCGTCTCTAAACTGATATCAGCTCACAAAATTTCAGGCTGATTGAACATTTTTTGTATTTGTCAAACAGATATGACAAAGCACATTCAATTATATATTTAGCAGGCCAAAGGAAGCATGTAAGAGAAATGTATTAGAGTTCACATACAGTATAGGAAATACAAACACCTGAATTGTTGTTTCTCTCTAGACTTCTAGGAAAATGCAAAAAATTAGTGAATTAACTGTAAAACCAAACTCCAAGCAAATGGCTATATGGGCAGATAACATACTCTTTAATCCATCCGATACTTTGAATCTGTCCAACCACTTTTGTTATTTTAACACCTTCGCCACACTGCACAGCTAGAAAGGCGAGATCAATATATCCTATAATGGTCTGACTTTTAGCCTGCATGCTCCCACCAGTGCTCCCCTCTGGAAGGCCAGTGTATACACACAAAAGTACATAAACCCCCTATATCACAACACGTATTAGGCATCCTCATGCATCAACGGTGGAAAATAAATGTAGGGCCATTGTCTAAAGTGATAATAAACCCTCAGTTTGTTTAAGCATTTTTAGCAGCCGATTTAATCATTTACAGAGTATGCAACTCCTTTATATTTAATCCTTGCCTATGTTCCTGCTTAAGCTGGTACCATGACCTCTGCAAAACTCAAGACGTAACCTTCTGCATGCAGGTGTGGTGCTTAGAGGTAGGATGGACTCTCCGCTAATCATGCAAATACAGCACAAAAAGAATCTTGCTACTCTCATAGAACAGTGGGTATCCTTTCACAAGCTACAAAACAAAAAGAAAGAGGGCGCACCAACCTAGTGCACTACCATAACTCAATTTTTATTAACCACTTGACAACCGCCCCATAGCAGATGTACAGCTAAAATCACAGAAATATGTGATTTTGCATTTCCAGGTAGGGGGCATGCGCACGCACCGCCCTACAATTAGCTCCTGAAGACATCAATCACCAGGTCACGGCCAGCAGTTATCGTCCAGGACTCGGTGATCGTGGGTGAAATCTCTGTGTAAACAATACAGATCTGTCTACTGACAGCATGGATATGCTGCCTTCCATCTCTCTGTACAGCAGAGAGGTAGGGAGCAGTAGGGCTCCCTAGTAAAACAGCACACACTTTTCACAGTAAAACACAAACTGCACATTGTGAACCCCTTTGATCAGCCCAGATGTTAACACCTTCCTGCCCATTGTCATTAGTACAGTGTCCATGCTTTCTATTAGCACTGATCACTGTATTAGTGTCACTGGGGATATCAGTGGCAGTTAGTTAAGTCCCACCCAGTGTCAGAATGCCCACCGCAGTCCCGCTATAAGTCGCTGTTCGCCGCCATTACTAGTATAAATAAATATAAAAGTAAACATTTCAGCATATATACTGCTATTTGTAGACGCTATAAATCTTTCACACATACCAATTAATACACACTTATTAAGATTTTGTTTAGCAAAGACATAGCAAAATAAATTTTAGCCTAAATTTATGAAGGCATTTTATTTTTTTTATTGGATACGTTATATAGCAAACACTCAAACAACTATAAACAGTGACTAAAAAAAGTACACATAAACAGCGTTTCATCATATCCGACTTCCTCTTTTGGGGATGTCTCTACCAGCTTTGCACATTTAGAGAGACATTTTTGCCCATTCTTCTTTGCAAAATAGCCCAAACTCAGTCAGAGTGGTTGGAAAGCGTCTGTTAACAGCAATATTCAAGTCTTGCCACAGATTCTCAATTGGATTTAGGCCTGGACTTTGACTGGGTCATTCTAACACATGAATATGCTTTGATCTCCATCCATCTCCCCATCAGCTTGGACCAGCGTCCCTGCCCCTGCTGAAGAAAAGCATCCCCTCAACATGATGCTGCAACCACCATGTTTCACAGTGGGGATGGTCTGTTCAGGGTGATGTGCAGTGTTAGTTTTCTGCCACACACAGCATTTTGATTTTAGGCCAAAAAGTTCAATTTTGGTCTCATGGCTTCGTGCAAACAGGACTTCTTATGGCTTTCTTTCAACAATGGCATTTTCTTGCCATTCTTCCATAAAGGCCATATTTGTGGAGTGCACGACTAATAGTTGCCCTTTGGACAGATTCTCCTTCCTGAGCTGTTGATCTCTGCAGCTCCTCCAGAGTTACCGTGGGCCTCTTGGCTGCTTCTCTGATTAATGCTTTCCTTGCCGGCCTATCAGTTTAGGTGGACGGCTAGATATTGGTAAGTTTGCAGTTGTGCAATACTCTTTCCATTTTAGGATGATGGATCTAACAGTGCTCCGGCAGATGTTCAAAGCTTGGGATATTTTTTATAACCTAACCCTGCTTTAAACTTCTCCACAACTTTATCCCTGACCTGTCTGGTGTGTTCCTTGGCCTTCATAGTGCGGTTTGTTCACTAATGTTCTCTTACAAACCTCTGAGAGCTTCACAGAACAGTTGTAGCTGTTTTATACTGAGCTTAATTTGCACACAGGTGGACTATTTACTAATTAGGTGACTTCTGAAGGCAATTGGTTCCACTAGATTTTAGTTAGGGGTATCAGAGTAAAGGGGCCTGAATACAAATGCACGCCACATTTTTCAGATATTTGCAAAAAAAATGTTGAAAACCATTTATCATTTTCCATCCACTTCACGTTTGGTCTATCACATAAAATCCCAATAAAATACATTTACGTTTTTGGTTGTAACATGACAAACTGTGGAAAATGTCAAGAGGTATGAATACTTTTTCAAATAACTGTATCTTCTAAAATGCACAAATATGGATCCTTACATGAGAAAGACAAAGCCTCCCAGAGAACAGTCTGACAATGGCTCAAATGGGGTCTTTGCGAGAGCTTCCAAAACTAGGGACAAATCCCATGGAGGAACTATCTTAAGAATTTTGGGGGTATGTCTTTCTCTAGCTACCAGGAACCTCCTTACAAGTGGATCCTCTACTAACCTCTGATCCAGGAATACAGACAAGGCTGATACTTGTACCTTCAAGGTACTAACTGCCAATCCCGTATCCACCCGTCTGTAAAAAATCCAATATTACTGAGATGGAATTTCCTAAACTTCCAGACCTAGTTCTTAAGGCAAGAAAGGTCCTCCAAACCTTGGCGTAAATTTTTCTAATGCAGAGCTTCCTACTGCCTAGGAGCGTCTCGACCACTTTTTCTGAGAATCCTCCTTTCAACCTCTAAGCTGTCAGATGGAAGAGACAAAGATTGGGATAAAGAACCGGTAATAGTTCTAGGCAATCTGGAAGTATCCAAAGAAGGGAAACTGAGAACCAACTCCTTTTCGGCCAATACAGAGCTATGAGGATGACTTGGCATTTCTCAAATACAATCTTTCGTATTACTTGCAGAAGGATTGCTAAGGGAGGAAAAGTATATGCTAGAACGAAGTCCCAAACCTCAAAAGCACCTGCCCCCAGTGCTCGAGACTCCCTCTCCAGGGAAAAAAAATTCTGAAGACTGCTGTTCCTGTCAGAGGCCTAAAAGTCCACCTCCAGAAGGCCCCCACAAATCTGTAATCTGAGCAAAAACTTCTGTATTAAACTTCCACTCTCCCTGCTGGATTGGATTCCAACTGAGATAATCAGCAACATATTTTCTGAACCCCTGAGATGGATGGCTCTTAGAGAATTCAGACAAGATTCTGCCCAACACAAAATCTCCTGAGCCAGGGACAGCAGGGTCTGCGACCTTGTTTCCCCCGGTCTGTTGCAGTAAGCCACTCCTGTGGCATTGTCTGAAAAAAAAAACTAACACATCCTGGTTGCGAACGGAGTCTGCAAAGGATTTTAGGGCAAGTCCTACTGCCAGTAACTCTCTGAAATTGGTGGAGGCCCTCACAAGGTCTACAGTAGACCCCAAATCCCCTGAGCATGAGACTGACCCGAGTGGGCCCCCCCCAACCCCAGGAACTTTCATCTATGGTAATCTTTACAGGGTTGTTTCAAGACCAAGGCCAACCCCCTAACAGATTTTGACGATTGTACCACTACTCTAGATCCAGAGCATCGTTCTGCAGAAGACTCACCACTGTGTCCAGGGAAGTGTGACTGCGATCCCATGAAGCTAGCAAAAATGTTTGCAGTGCAGCTGGCCCCAGGTAACCCCTGTGATAGCCACTGTCATTAACACCCCGGTCACATCGGGAGCGACTTGGCAAGCGATTTGTATGCCATGTGACTTGCAAATCGGATGCCAAGTCGCACCCTATTGTCCGCAATCAGAGCGGTCAAATCTGTGCAGTACCAACTTGGTCGGAGCTGCACCGATTTCTAAACAATCTGCATAATCCTCCTCAAAGACACCTGCTACTGTGTCTGGAGATTTTGAACTGCAGATATCAACCTCTTAACCTTTGGTTTTGTAGAGAAAAAAAAAAAAATCTTCTGAGAGACTTAGTCCACTAGGTAACCCAAAATCTCCACAGTTTGGGACAGTTTCAACTGGACTTCCTTAGATTTACTAACCAACCTAGAGAGTCTAGTTCTGAAAGAACTAGATCGAAGTCCAACTTCAGTTTTTCTCTCGTGGGGGCAAAAATCAAAAGGTCGTCGAAGTAGGGAACCACTGCAATACTTTGCATTTGCAAGATAGCCATAACCTCAGTTTTGTGAATACCCTTGGAGCTGCCGACAGACCAAAAGGAAG